TCAAAAAAAGGCTCGTGTCGAGTGGTCAAAAGAAATGCTTAGAAAATACGAGTGCTTCAAAACATGTTCATGACATCGTAACAGGTAACGAATCATGGATCTATGCTTATAAACCTGAAAGTAAACAGCAGTCGACTGTGTGGGTCTTTAAAGATGAGCCAAATCCTACAAAAGTGGTTCGCGCACGGAGCACTTCGAAGCAAATGGTCGCCTGTTTCTTCAGAAGAACTGGACATGTGGCAATATTAGAGCAACGTCGGACAGTCAATTCTGAATGGTACACAACCATTTGTTTGCCGGAAGTCTTCGGAAAAAATAGGGAAACCAACCGCCAAAGACGGATCATTCTTCACCATGACAATGCGAGCTCTCACACACCCGCTCAAACAATAGGGTTTTTGAGGACTGAAAAGGTCGAATTTATGGGTCATCCACCGTACAGCCCTGATTTAGCACCCAAGGGTTCAACGTTTTTTGACGGCTGAAGAAGCGGTTGAAAGGTTCAAAATGTTTTGGAGGTGCCTCAGAGTGGAAAAAATGCTTCGAAAACTGGTTTAAGCGCATGCAAAAGTGTGTCGATCTTCATGGAGAATATTTTGAAAAATAATAGAGCCATGTAAGATTATTAATTGATGTTTGTTTTCTCTATTCCCGAAATATAAAAGGCATCCCTCGTAATTAATGGCACGAGCCGCAACTTGCGGCCTGCAAAAAATTTACATTTGAACGTGCGTTTGTTTTGATTCGGCAAGATTTCGCCTACGCTTTGTTTTCCGTCAAAAAACCTAAATTTATTTTGGAGGATGTTAAACATAAAGTAATATTATACTAGTGTTACTATTGGAGTTGTGTTCTTGTTTTTAATCATTAATTAATACTCTTCAGTGAAGAGTCTTCAGATATCCGATAATTAATCAGCTTTAAAACTTCGTTTTGAAATACACCCTGAAAAATTTGTGTCGTTTGAACTATTTTCATTTGATATAATTTTTGTTTTCAATTAACTCCTTATAACTATATTTTTTTCTTTGGAAAAACTAAAATTTACATAAATTGCTTCTGTTTTGATAAAAATCGGACCTTGAAAAATCCTATTTTATACATATAATTTTGTTATTTGGATTTCTAAAAAATTTATATGTACTTATAGGTAAGTATAATTTTTGATAGATTTTATATCAAAAAAACATTTCTGCAGTCGGCATTTAAAAAAAATCATGTATTTTGCTCCGCGCTAATGCTTAACCTTTAAACATAGGGTACTTATTCAATTTTAATAAGAAATATATATCCCTTTATAGTTGCACAATATAAATATAATATATTTAATAACATTAATTTTATTTACTATAGTATACTCACTTATAGATCGAAAACAAAAATATTTTTATTAAATCTAAAATTAAAATTGGACTATTTGTGTAAATCTTTAAACTGAAGGTGAAAATATACGAATCTTTATTTTACAGGCACAATTTAGGTACACGAAAAAGATAAAATTGCTTACAAAAACATTTGTGCTGCTTAAATTGTAGGACACGTACTAAATAAAGTAGTGGCAGGGTATATTCATTCAAAAGGTCACGACAATTTAGCACTCGTATATTTGAAGTAAGTAAGTGTTGAGAAAGATAAACTACGTTTAATCCTTCAAATTTTTTGTGTTGTTTTTTAAGGAAAAAGAAGTCTTTTATATCTAATTAACACATTCGCGGACTACTTTTGTCTGTCATTGCAGACGTCTGCTATAACAGACACGTCCTTCTATATCCCATAATTGTATATTAAGGGACATGCGTCTGTTATTGCAGACGTTAATACACTAAATTTCGGTTTCGATAATAAACAGGAAAACGAACAAACATAAAATTTATAAATATTTTTTTGTGAAATAAAAAAGTGAACATTAGGAATAAAAATATAAAGTTATTTTACTTACCGAGACTTAAAATGGCAAAAAACAACAAATAACATCTAAAAGGTAAAAAAGATGAACTAAATAAAATCGACGTTTAGGGACACTATACAGTGGTAATAATGCACATTTAGGCCAAATTGTGACAAAGATGCATGCAATATAAAACGTACGAAAGAGTGAGATTAACAACCATCGACTGGTTAACAAACGTGATTCCCCTCCGTCATGAGCGTGCAGTAGAAATTTTTAAAACAATTAAATCAAAACGGTCTATTACACGCCAATGTTTTACTTCCCCTTCTTTAACTATCTGCGTTACCCGCCGGGCGGGTCCCGCCCACTCGACATGTTCGAGATTTGCCACTATTTAGTGTCAGTTTCATTACGACTGAGGTAGGGTGTTGTCGGTTGTTATAAAACAACGTAAATATTTTATTATGATTTTGTTTACAGAAACAAAAATTCCTTGCAAATATTTCTTAGGAAATGTGGAAAATAAACAATAATATTCTTGTAATAAAAAACAAATATTCTCAAATAAAAAATTATTCTAAAAAACGTAAAGAAAAAATAATTTAAAGCAAATGTTCAAATAGCTGCCCAAAAGCTGCCGAACAATACGTCAACCTGTTGTAAAAATTTGGACATTTGACAGCATATTAGGGTTAATATTTCTTAATGTATCAATAATCATTGCTCTTAATTCATCAAGATTATTGGCCCTAAGATGCTGAAATCCATACATTTTTGACTTTGGTCTGACGCCGCTACAAGTTGTCTGCCCAAGGCAGAGTGCCCCACCACTCCTGGAGTGGTGGGGCACTCCACACTTTACACGTCTTATATGGCATCTCTATTGTTAGCGTCTTTGTCTACAAAGGGGAATACGCGTACATTACCACCACTGTATAGTATAATATATATATAACCTCTTAGATTGGCCGTTATGAAGCTACTGTCTGCTTTAGCAGACATGGCGTTTTTCGTGAGAGAACAACCTATATATATATATATATATGTATTTAACCTTAAAATATATCACTTAGAGGGACACTTTCCTTTAACCAACTTGATGTACATTGTACATACATGGACACTAGGGTGTCCGTTATTTACCAACTTGATTTTTTGTTCGCAGCGCCCCCTAAATTTTTAGTTTATGACCTAAAAAAAATTATATTTATTTTATCTCGATATTTTATAACATTTTCCGGCTTTATTCTCATCAAAACACTCGTTTGTGACCTAAGCAATAGACAGCTGATTATTAAAAGTTCTACTTTTGTTACTATGATAACAGCCGAGTGGTGGTGCTACTAGCGATACTTCTTTAGCGTATATTAAAATGTTCAATTTTCTAAATTTCTACTTTCGATGACGGCTTCAAAAGCTGAGTGTTATTTATTGTTGCCCTAACAACAAAATCCGTCACTTAGCCCTGGCGAAAATGAAATGTGCAAAAAGTGTGCAAAATATATTTGAGAACAATGTGCCAACAATGTGCAATCTTTTAAAAAAATGATGTGCGAAGGGTGGGAAATGGAACATGAAACAATGTGCAAAACCAAAAATTTAAAAGTGTGAATAATCACTGAACAATGTTCTAAAGGGAACTCCTTTTGATTTTTCACATTGTTTGCACACTGTTTCTTGCCACCTGTGTGCCTATTACAAAAAAAGATTCTTTTTGGTGACCTATAAAGTCTTTTAAATTTACACATAATTGAAATATAAATATCCTTATAATAATATTAATCAAATAAATATTAAAAAAAAAAAAATACCCACAATGTAGGTCCTACATACTGTATTTTATTAAGAAAAATACCTGCACTGTTAACTCCACGAAGGGGATAGTTTTGTCTTAGCAATAGGCCGAGAAGCGATACATAAGATGGAATCTACCTCACATTTTAAATAAATGTTGTACCTCAACTCAAGCGAGATATATCTAAAATGTGCTTAAACTGTTGAGTGATCGCTAAAACTGTACAAACAATGTGCTATAAAAAGGTGTAATATAAGCGTCATACATGAGAAATATTAAAGCGTGCTAACAGTGTGTATAAAATGTGACATGCGTAAGATAGACTTAAGCTTTGCAAAATGTCTTTAAACAATGTACTAACACTGTGCAAACAATGTGCTAAAATATAATTTAATATAAGCGTGAAATATGACAAATAAAAAGCGTGATGTCAATGTACATAAAGAGTGAAAAAACTTATATATTTCACAAAGTAGCGTATATGCACATTGTTATAAAGACTTGCACTCCAAACACACACTTATTGCACACTTTTCATACACGCTTTATTTTCGCCAGGGAGTCGCTATGTATACTATAAATTTTTAAAAATTGAAAAAATATAGTTTGTGTAAATTATTACTAATTTAAGAAAAACGATATATGCTCTACTATATATAAGGGCACTTTCTTACGTATATGAGAACTGGATTTAAAGCCAGCCTAAAACTCTTTTTTGCAGGTTTAAACAGAATTATTTAACTCACTTTACAATATTTAAGAAATATAATAAACCAAATTCAATCCAAATTCCATCAAACTCAAATGATGATTCAAAAAGTAAAAACATAAGAAATCGTAATTTACCTAGGTATTAACTTAGCCTTAAAATAAAAACATAAACAAACTATCAGCCCCAATGGAATGAACCGATTCGGGTATTTTGGTCGATTGCTCTAATTGGTTAGACATTGGCAGAAATTAACGTATGCATCAAGCATACAGGAGGATAGAATGATAGCAAGTAAAGAAAACCAGTTTTTTTAGCTGAAAAGGGTGTTTTTTTTATACATTTGACTTTTGGTGTTCTGTAATTTTATAAAGGTCTGCGTACCTTACACCATACATTCTAAAAGTCTGCTATATATATTTCTTAAAATAAATGCAAGTTTCTTATGTTTAATTGACAAAACAAATTTTCAAAAAGTTTATTTAAATATTTACTGATTTTTCAGGAGGTAGTATTAGAAAATAAAATAGGTAAACTAATTAACTTTTTTGTCAAACTAGTAAAGTATTTTAAAGAATTTTAAAAGTATAGGATTATGTACACACCTTTTTTAGGTTTATCACTGGCGTTGTCGCTAAAGCGATCGCTGAGCAAGTCTTGTGTAAGCGTATCTTGTTCGTCCTGATCCAAAATGTCATTTTCAGGCGCGTTTATTGAAAGTTTATGGCACACTTCGAATGCTTGACCCACCGTTCGAACCACTCGCATCGCTTGGCTCTAAAACAAAAACAAACCATTACCTACGTCATTTGTTCATAGGGTTTATTCAACTAAACCCTGTATTTTTAAACGAATTCATAAAAAATACCCAGTATCAAAATATAAAAAGAATGTACCTAAATATTCTTAAAAATTAAATACATTATAATTAATATTGATTTAATTCATTCTAAAAAATAATATACCTAAAATTTGACAGAACTAAAAAAATTTGTCAACCAAAGAATATGTTTAAGTGTAAAGAATTAATATTTATAATTAAAATATATATTTTTATGTTAACTTTTTAAAACAGGATTTTCTCAAAACCACATTTTTAAATTAGACCAATTGTACTGACATTTATATTATTCACTAGAAAAAATCAGTTTTAACATAAAACGCTTGATCTTTTAAACAAAATTATTTTACGATACATTTTTTTTAATCATAAAACGGTATACTATAGTTAAATTGAAAAAAATTATAAGGTTATAAATCATATATGATTTCCTATAAAGTTTTTCTATCGTTTTACTTAAAAAAATCTATAAAAAATATTTTAGAGAATTTAAAATGCTTTAAATTATAATTATATTAAATTGTAATTGTAAATTGATTAAAAAAGAAAAAGATTTGTTTGTGTTTATTAAAATAAAATCATCTTCACAATAATAAAAGTGTATAATACATGTAGTAGTACGGTTGGGTAGGCTCGAAGCCTGACAATTAGACTCTATGGTCCTTTTTATCTGCCCCTCCTAAACCAACCAAACTACTCCTCATCCTTCTCTTCGCCCATACCAGCCCTTTCGAATCTTCCAGACCTTCTTATAAAGGTCAGGATGTCCTGCCAGGCAAGAGAGGCCAACTCTTCCCTTTGGAGTGTCATCACTCCAAAGATTTTATACCTTAGTCTGCCGAGGGCCTCACATTGTCCCAGGAAGTGAAAGGAGGTTTCATCCTCCCTTCCGCATTGGGTACAGGAGGGGCTGGTTTCAGCCCCTATTCTCGTGAGGTGTTTCCTTAGGCCATGACCCGTGAGTATGTTCACAAGTGGGCCGAAGGAGGTTCGGCTCCTACCTAGAAGCCAGATGGATTTGGGTTTGCTTAGGGTGACCAGGAAATCCCTGGTCTGCCTACAGCCACCGCTTCTTCTCCAGCTTTCGTTCGCCCTTTTATCAGCCCAATTATTTAGGGCTGAATTGACCTGCTTTCTCGTAATTTTAAAAATTGGTTCGGCTCCTACACAGGGGGTTTCAGATCCCAATCTGGCCAACTCATCAGCCCGTTCGTTACCTTCCACCCCACTATGACCTGGTACCCATACGAGATGCACTCTTTTTGTACTTGCTAGCTTTTCCAGCGCTTCCTCACACTCTTGAACCAACTTCGATGTGGTTCTCGCTGCCCAAAGCGCTTTCAGAGCTGCTTGGCTATCTGAGCAGATGTATATATCTGTCTCACTCCCTGTTCTTATATCCCCACAGTTTGCAACCTCAAGTATGGCAAACACTTCCGCTTGAAAGACAGTGGTATATCCTCCGAGCGGGTAGCTCCTTTGGATATCCCTGTCTTCCACACAGAAACCTGCCCCTGAAGACAGTGTACTCGCCATACGAGAGCCATCAGTGTAGCACACTAGTGCATTTTGTGCAAAGTGTACATCCTTTTTCTCCCACTGCTCTCTTGTTGGTATCGTGACGGAAAACTTCTTTTTTAAACTTAAGCGGCCTTTTGCTGGCATCGTTCTAATACTGCTAATTGGGACCTCCCTCTCAGCCATATCCGCGATGCCCTCATGACCATAAGTTATTTCTTTTCCTAACCAATTATTGGCATCCCTCATCCTTAAATGGCTCGCCATTGCTTCTCTCTTTATCCAGAGGGAAAGACTAGGCAAGCTCAGCAAGGCCTCTAATGCGTCGTTGGAGTAGTCCTTATTGCGCCTGTGATATCGAGACATGCCAGTCTCTGTATCTGGCTCAGTTTTTGAGTGATGGTGGTTTTGCTCACACTGCGCCACCAGACCACTGATCCATAATGTATCCGCGGTCTGATGACAGAAGTATAAATCCAGTGAAGGACTTTGGGATTTACTCCCCAGCGTTTTCCCACCACCCGGCGCAGCTGCCAGAAAGTTTCAATCGATTTGTCAACAACTTTGTCGACGTGTGATTTCCAACTTAACTTCCTATCTAGGGTAACACCTAGGTACTTGACCTCTTCAGTAATCTCAAGAGGTCTTCCATACATAGCTGGTGCCCTGAAGTCCTGTATCTTCCTTCGTTTGGTAAAAAGAATCATGTCAGTTTTTGTTGGGTTAACCGACAGACCGTTTTCTTTGCACCAATTTTCTATTATTCTGCATGCTGTCTGCATTCTGTCGCAGACTACACCTAGAATGCCTCCTCTGATTAGGACTGTACCATCATCTGCATATGCTTGTGCATACAGCCCTTCAGCCGTCAGTCTCTCCAGAAGTCGATCCATTATTAAACACCATAGGTGGGGTGATAGGCAGCCGCCTTGTGGGCAGCCGCCCCTCACACCGATGTCCAAATGGCAGTCTCCCAGAGATGCACTGACCTGCCTCTCCTCCAGTGAGGATTTAACCCAACTAACCAGTACTGGGGGAGTGCCTCTGGCTTGTAGCTCTTCACAGATTGTAGATGTCCTCGCCTTATCAAAAGCCCCCTCTACATCAAAGAAAACAGCTAGTGCCATTTCCTTGTAGTGCAGTGCCTTTTCGACTCTATGCACTATAGAATGAAGAGCCGTTTCGGTCGACCTTCCATTTCTATAGGCATGTTGATTCTTATGGAATGGGTACCTTTTCAACACCCCTTCTTGCAGGCAGGTACCGGTCCACAATCCTTTCTAATGTTTTAAAAAGAAAGGATGTTAGGCTTATTGGCCTGAAGGACTTTGCAGCCGAGTAGTCTTTTTTCCCTGCTTTGGGTATGAAGACCACTTTAGCTGCCCTCCAGGCTCTTGGGACATATCCCAGTGCCAGACTGGCTCGGAATATTCGTTCTAGATATTCTTGGGAGAAGAATCTCCAAGCCTCTCTGTAGCAATGCTGGGAATATTCCATCCGGTCCTGCTGCCTTGTATGGATCGAACGCATTTACTGCCCATTCCACCGATCTCTCCTTCACAACGTCTTTGGCAAGGCCTAAGTCCCAGGTAAGGATCTCTGGCCCCTCCGTTGTTGACGTGTGGGAAGGAGTTTCGCCGGGGAAGTGCGTTTCCAGGAGATGTCTTAGGGACTCTTCACTGGTGTTCGTCCACGATCCATTCAACCTTCTTAGGATTTCTACATTCTTTTTTGAGTCACAGCTAAGGATCTTCATCAGCCTGGTTGACTCCTGAAGTGACTCTACAGTTCCACAGTATGTCTTCCAGCTGATATCCTTGCTGCGCCTTAACTCTTTTTTGTAAGACTTTCTAGCCTCCCTGTACGTATCCCACGTGGATTGCAGCCCATCCTTGATAGCCCGGTTGAATGCGCGCCTTGCCTTCTTTCGAAGGTCTTCAAGCACGTCACTCCACCACGGGACCTTTCGGCCCTTAGCCACCTTGGCCGGGCAAGCAATCTCGTAGGCTATGGCAATCGTACTATTTAGGTGGTTAACTTCCTTCTCTAACTGTTCTTTGGTGGTAATGTCCACAGGAGGTTCCCAAGTTTGACTTTTTAGATTGGTGAGATATTTCTCCCAATCTGTAGCCCTTGGATTCCTCCTTGGGTTAGGAGTGACCTTGTCGACATTTAACTCAAATCTGATCATCCTGTGATCAGACATCGTTATATCGTTGGTCACTCTCCAGTTAGAATATTCATATACTGACCTTGATGCCAACGTTATGTCTATTACTTCCTTCCTATATAATACATGTATATTTTACCTAAGCATTTGTTATTAATTGTAGCCTATTATATTTATTCAATAGTAAATTATTGACCAGGCGGAAAAAGCTTATATTATAAGCCAATCATACGATTATCTACTAATATTATGTGATATATATTAGATATCTACTTATATTATCTACTAATATTATGTGCGAAGCAATTAAAGTGTTCACCGCTGTATTTTTTTAAGCATTTAATTCAATTAAATTAATTGTAATATTTCTTTAATATTCTAGCTCTATTTATGTACGGAGTTTAATAAGTATTAATATAAGTCTTTCTATATAGTCTTATAATATGCAAATTATTGTAGGCTTGAAAAAAATATTATGTGTAACATAATATTTTTATGTATGCATGTTATGAATTTAGCGTATTTTATATTTAATAAATTTTTGAAAATCTTAAAACTCTATTAGGTATTCGGTATTTATGTAATTTATAGTCGGAATGGTAAAAATAGAATTATCACAGTAACCGAGGTACTAAAAATATCACATTTGGAACATACTTTGCTCATTATTTATCTTAAATCAAAGTCGCAATATCTAGGTGACCGCACTAAACCATTAGTTATTCTAATGTGGCTAATTTTTTATTACCTCGTTGCTAAGAATATGTTTGAATATTTATTGCTCCTAAAAATAATTTGCAAATGTTTTTAAGATGGTTTCTTAAATTCTCTATAAGAAACAAATAAAACTTCTCTTTAAATAATTGTTACCTTATATACCTATTATGTATAATTAATATTTACTTAATTAAAAACTTTTTATATTCCTTCATTGACGAGCTGTGACTTCATGGCATTTTAGTTACGGGCTGAAATTAGCAAGCGACTTTTGGGCATTTTAGTCACAAGCTGAAGATAGCTTTATTATAAATTGGGGAAAAGTAAGGTTAAACTCGTTAACAGTTGACAGATGGCAAATGTTTATAAAATAAAATTGGCTTTAAATTCTTTTTTGTGTTCGTTGTAGACATTCGTTTTTATTAAACACTCGCTCACAAGCTTCGCTCATGCCTAATAAAAGTCATAACTAAAATGGCTTTTATGTTTATTTCATACATAAAATATGACTATATTTAATTATTAGATAAAAG